AGAAAATGTCATATACATTTTATATTAATTTAAAATTTATTTTTATATTAGGTTGTGGTTTTAAAAAAGGTCAATACAAAAAAATAGCAAAATATGCGGGTATATTGTGGAGTGCCTTTGATAGTAAAGAAAGCTCTCTTTGGCAGTTTTTAGCACAGCTTGCTTCTTACAAAGAAAATGAGCCACCTTTTAATAAACCATTTGAACCTGATTGCCAGACGTCACAAACATGGTAGAAAACAATTGAAGATGTTCACAATCATCTTCCTACTTTAGCAGCTAAATTTTTTTGTATTACTTCACATTTTGCTTCTTGTGAAAGGTTTTTTTGGCATTAGGATGGATCTATAGAAAAAAAAGAACTCAATTAGCATTTGGAAAATTAGAAGCATTGGCCAAGATTCATCGATATTATATAACTCATGCCAAAGAAGAAATTTCTTTTATTAATCATGAGCTTACCTTGGAAGACGTATTAGCTGTAGCAGAAGAAACTAGAAAGTTGGATGGTAATGATTCTGATAAAGATTCTGGTGATGATTTTGGTGAAGATGATGAAGTAGAATTCAAATCATTAGATGATATTTTGCATTTGGAAGAAATGTTTAATTTAAATCATAAAATTTTTGGGGGAACAAATCTGAATGATAATATTGAAATGAGTTCTGAAAATGTGGTCGATGAAGAACCAAATCATGATTATGATTTAGATAGTGTAGTTGATGAATTTTTTCCCTAATAAAAAAAAATTTTTGAGTTAGACAAGTAGATAGTATATTAATAATATACTGTTATAAATCAACTACTACATATTGTATCTATTTTTTTGAGCAAAAATAAAATAGATAGTGGAATTAATTACTTTGCTATAGTGTGAATTAGCTCAAGAAAACTTTATAAAAAATGACTGCTTATTTACTTATGACTTTTTAAAGGAATTATTTTATAGTAAATAATATTGTATGAGAACTTGTAAGTAATGTTATAAATCTATAAATTTCTTAATTTCTGTTGAGTTAGAATTGTTAAATATATAGAACTTATAGGCTTTTATTTTAAGATAGATCTCTTTATTATATCTACAAATAGTTACTGTATTATTCTAATTTTATTTTATCTGTATTTAATCGATATATCTCAAATAATTCTCTTTTATCAAATTCACCTGGGTCTAGTACAGTTATTTCATAAAAGAAAAAAAATTTAAAATATATTCACAATTTGTACTTGTAATAGATAGTTTAATTATTTGAAAAAACTGTATTTGATTAATAGAGATTCTGTGGTTCGCAGCCAGATCTAATTCATGGTAGGTTTACTATTTTAAAATAATAGGGAATAAGTATATTATTATGATGAAAATAATAAAAATAAAAAAATAAAACAAAATAAAAATAAAAAAGTCGATACTTGTCTTTGATTCAGAATGAACAAATTGTCGTGTACATGTGATACACGTGACTAACATGTCGATCGAGCAGAACTAATCTATTTACATTTTACATGTATATATTATTACAATATATATATTCTTACATAAAATAAATAATATTATATACAATAATATTCTTACACGAAAATAAATAATATTATATGTAATAATATTATTACATGTAATAATATTATTATTACATGTAATAAATATTATTACAATTATGGTTTTAAAAAACTCTGTGTAAAAATGTATATAGTAAATATAATTGTAATAATTGGCTAATTATGACACCATACTTTAGCAATATCTATGAAATTCTACATGAGTTCAAGATGAAAGTTCTTTTGCTTCTGAGTTGATTATAAGATTTGAGCGATATGGTACGCGTTAATGATGGAGATATCAAGCAACCAGAAAAAAAGTAGCATCTAGTTTCTTTGTACATTTGTTGCGTATTGTAATACAAATGAAGCTGGTCTGCAATATCTACACTATTCATGTGATGGTTGTAGTTGTTGATTATCTTGGAGATTTTTAATTTTTTTTTCAATTGGAAGCCAAACACTGCATGTACTTTTGTTGCATTAGTGCTTGTTTCTCTTGGCTGCCATCTTTTACATTCTATTTCCCATTGTTTACCCACAAGACCATGAATAGTTGACAGCATTGTGACTGAACCATTGTTCTGCCAAAACACAGCCAACACTTCATTTACCACAATGCCAGAAAATACATCACAGTCAAGTCGAAGATTTTTTTCTACTTTTAGTTTCTTAAAGAACCCCGATGCTATTTTTTGAACAGTGCTACAAGCACCAATACCAATTTGCCAAAGGTTCTAAAAAAGAGAAACATTAAAAAAGTAGTTGTCTATGTAGATATTAAATGAAAACTAATGATATGGAAGCTGTATAATAAGATAGAGAACCAGGCAACTAGTTTGGTTAAGCCTACTCACTTTTTTGACATTACTTAGAAAGACATGCAACATTGGCAAGAAAGTAAATGTATATCCAAATTTATAAAGCGACAATACCTTAAACCCCTTTGGGATTGGTTTGTTCTTAATATGAATAGTGTAGATGCTTTTTTCAGAAAACCTTAATATCATTTCATCTTCCGAGATGTTTGAGGCTGGTATGTAAAGTTGTTTTGAAACATCTCGGATATGGGAAAGCAACAGCTCTAAATTTTCAAAGTAATGATTAATATCTGCAGTAGGTGGAGAGATATGCAGATACCTCTTGATTTGTTCAAACTGTTTTAGTGGTATTTGGTTGGAAATATGATATATGGGAAGCTTTGGGTCCTCATTCTAGTACTAATTAAGCAAAGGCAGCCCAAAAATCCCCTGGTAAATAACCAGTGCAATCCATGTAATAAACTTCTTGCAGTTTATATTCTTTTACTGTCTTCTAGCAAGGCCAGCACCTTTAATGCATATGAATTCATGTTCAGAACAATTTTATCAAGTAAATTGTTTGTAAAAAAAGCAAAAAAAGATTAATCAGTTTTGAAAAACTAACTTTATAATTTGGTGGCAAATTAACAAATGCCTGATGCAATTGTTTTGAGTGAACCAATGGTTCAAAATTTGAGGGTAGTGGTGACAATTTATGTACACTTTTTGATTTTTTGTGGCTTTTATTTCTACTGCTTTTAGCATCTTCATCCTCCTCCTTGTCTGATTCCAGGTTGTTTAAAAAACATTGGCAGGATGTCAGAACTGGCATGTATTCTTCTTTTTCTTTGTTAGAAAATATCTTAGTACTTTCAAGAGGGGGCAAATTCGAAGATAAACTTACCTTTGTCATAGTTGAAAAATGATTTTTTTTGATTATTTTTTTGATTTTTTTTTTGATTTTTTTTTTCTTTTATTGATTAATAATCGGCATACTACCATGTACTACTGACAACATCATATACCATTATCATATGATCCGAAGTCACAAGATGATTTGCAGAATTGTATATTTTAATTCTAGTTTAGAAAAGGGGGGTATAATTGCTTGGTTAAGTCAGGTGTAATTGCACAAAATCAAAAAAAAAGATTTTAATGGGTAAATTTACCCACTGAACAGTTTAAGAGATAAAAAGTATATCTTATATAAGAAGTTTTTTTTTTCTTTATAAAATACTTCTATACAAAAAACCTAGTATATGGTTGTAATAATTCACCAGTTTTTTACTTCCATGATACTATTATTGATACAAGAATCTATATAAAAAATTATTTATTTTAGAAGAATCATTATTGTCTATAAAATAATAGTTTATATGAGAATTGTTCTCTTCAATGTCTTCTATAATAGCAAAAAAAAAAAATACAATCTATCACTACAATTCAACCATATTTCAATAAACTCATACTCTTAATTTTAACAGAAATTAGTTCAAAAATAAAAACTGTTTTTTTTTTTTTTTAAATTGTGTGGTACCTCATAAAGTGCAAGTTCTAGACTAGAAGTAGTACAATTTAACATTCTTAAAAAAAAATTTTTTCTACATATTGTTTATTATTGTATTGTTTATTATCATATTGTTCATTATCTAGATCTCTAACGCTAACATTTTATATTCGTTGAAAGCAGGTGATTAAAAGTGCGAATCTATGCGGGTCCTTCCGGGTACCCGTTATCACAAACCCGGAATCGGTCGGATCTGAAAAATTGTGAACCCGAACTCGAACCGCCGAGTCGATTCCGGGTTTCGGTCCGAGTATGCGGAATACCACTAACTGTTATAGCAAAATTACAATCTGAGCAACTTTACATAATATATCAATCAGCGTTTTATTAGTAAAATTTGTTTATTTCGGCCAAAATTGATTTGGTCCGGAAGCTCGGGTTGACGTCACTAACTAGAGGTTGGAACTGGTTTTATTTTCCTGTGTTAAAACCAATTAAAACCGGTTTTAACATATGAAAAATAAAACCGGTTCCAAACTCTATCACTAACCTACTAGATTATTCGGATCGACGAAATTCGGCGATTTTTTACCAATACACTTATAATACAGTTTAATCCATTGAGCATCAATATTTCAACCACTGATTCACGAATTTGTGACGGAAAATCTGAAATTTAAATGGTCTATCATTCCACTTAGTTTTGTATATTATCTAATTTTTGAAGCGGAATTTCAAGCCACGAATTTCATCCAAAAATCGATTTCTGAATTGTAGTTCAGTGATTGCGAGGTATAAACTATAGATGCTGGTAAAATAAAATTGGAATTATTCCACAATCACTGTTATTAATAATGGGCCAGACTGTGTTAGCAGTTACTAACGATATAATCGATATATTATAAATATAAAACATTAAAATATTTATTATTTTTTTTAGTTACTATTTTGCAAAAAACAAATCTAAAAGTAAAACTCTCACTAATTAATACATCTATAGATAACAACAAAGTCCAAACCCTTTTTAAAATTTTTAAAAAATATCGATAAATATGTATTGTAATCTTTTAAGAGGATCCGCTCACTGCCAATCTAAAATTTTAAAAATAAAATAGTTAGAAAACGTATTAGATATTTAAAAACTAAAGTAATTATACCTACTTCTTTAAATGTTCCATAAATACTTGCAGACTGACATCATCTGTGAAAATGGCTTGACCTTGTGATGTTCCATACATACCACCAGAAACGTGAGTAGTTGAAGGGTTAAGTTTGGAAAGAAGAAAACGTGCCTGAGAACCATGCTGATCACAGACAATATATCGGGGAACTGGAAAACGGTCTGCCAAAAGTTCCTACATGAAAAAGAAAAGTGTCAAAACGATATTACAAAACGCTACTATTATATATATATATATATATACCTCTGAATCAGTTTTTGGTGCTTCCAACAACTCTTTAAAATTTTCGTAACCACTTTGATCCTGATATCCAGCTTTTCTCCATTGGGCAATTGTCTCTCCATGGAAAATAAGAATATGGAAGAATGTGTCGAGCAACAAGATAACGTCTGGTTTTATAGAAACCGAATCTAAAAGCACTGGTTGTGGTGCTGAATCAAATCCATATGACATCAATGTGGGTTGAATCATTATGAGAGAGTTGTTGACATCTTCCCGGTTTAATACATGTCTATAAAAAAAAAAAATTTAAATAACAGTTTAAAATAACAGTCTAATACTGTAAATAATATACATCATAAACTTTATGTTTTAGTACCGGTAAAATGCCGTTTCGTCTGGACTATTGTTGAAAACTTGTAAAAATTGACTTCTTCGAAGATGGAACATAAATTGTGGATATATAGAAAAGTTTTCAGCAAGTCGAAATGATAAAGAGTCCTCTTTTCGATAATCAGCAAATTTTTGACATAATCGAATTAGCATACGATCCAACCATCTCAAAACGTCTGGTCCATCATCAATCTCCGCTTTGAAAACCGCTATACGTGCCATAAGTACAGCAGCAGCCTCTTGATCGAAAGACTGAGCAATTTGCGGACTATTTCCATCAGCAAAATTTCTAGCAATAGTGGTGACACGAAGACGGAACTGCCCACTGGAATGTTGGTAGTGTGTCACAAGTTGAATTAAACCACGATTATTGTGTTGGATTGGTTGGCCATGCTGGCTGACAACTTCAAAATACACCGCAACAGTTGTCTTTGGTGTGATTCCACACATCTTCCATGCTGATGTATTCGCTATACCAATTTCTGTTTCAGCTACTGATGCACTTTTTTTATTTGCTGAGATAGCATGACCAATCAAGCCACAAACTCGCATTTCTCTGGTGGTCTATATGTAAACAAAATCTTTTTTTTTAAAAAAAATAGAGTATCAATAATTAATATTATAAAATAAATATAAATACCTGTACATCCAGTGTTGCGTTGAATCCCATTTGTAAATTACCTTGAGCATCCTTATTAAAAACTCTTTGGAAACTTTGTTTGAAAATGGATGTAGTAAAAGAATCAGAAAGAATCATATATCCTCCAGTTGAATTAACCATAGATTTCATTTCAAGCAATCCAACTTGATCAAGACATCCAGCAAAAATATCAACTATATGACCATTTGCCGAACTGCGTTTAGCAAGTGCGTCATAAAACTGAAAGTGAAAAATTTCAGTATACATATTGTCAATTACCAATGTTCTACATATCATCATAATGTATAAAAAACGCATACCTTTGTAGCTTTTTTATAATATTTGACGTTATCCTTTTCAATATCGTGATGAGATCTAATAGGTTCTTTCAATTCATTACCAACGACCATACCAGGACCTTCAGTAGCTGGACCACCGCAGAAAAGCATTATACGCGCTCCTGCTCCTTGAAAAGTGGTCTAATGAATGATTTAATATTAAGTACATTTTATAAAAGTAAAAATAATTAAACGAATAACAGAGAAATATATAGACCTCCATTAATCCAATGGCAACACTCATTGCAACACCTGTGCATCTTTGAGGTCGTTTATCATTTGCGACAGGCCATGGGTCACGTTGAAGTTGTTCTAGGATGGACGTCAAGGTAAATTCACATTGTTGAACCGGTAAAAGAAATCTAATAAATAAAGAAATATTAATAATCACGAAAAAAGAATGAGGTATAAATGGTTTCACGACTTACCGACTAGCACCAGGGTTTTGAGGAGCCCCAGGTTGGTTTGGTCGTTGCATTTGAGGGCGTAAATTTTGAGCAGATAAACCAAGCATTTCTTGAATTTGTTTAGATGTATATTCCTTTGTTCCTCGAAAGACATAAGATTTAGGGCATTCATTATATCCAAGTTCGTGAACTTGCGCCTATTTTATTTATAAGAATTTCCATTATTATATTATTATATCGCGATTTTTCTATAAAACATAATAGGAAAAGTGAAGAATCTATACCATTGTACCAAAAGTAATTAAACCAACTAATGCATGGGGTGGTAACAAACTCAAGCTAACGACCAAAGAATCCTTCAACGCTTTCAGATCATCGTCTTCAAGACAAGTATCTACTACATACAAAAATATTGGAGGAATTTGAGCTGCGCGATTAAGGGTGTATTCAATGGTGGTATACTTTGGCAGCAACTCAGCGGGAAGGTTGGTATTGGAAATATCTTTATAATGAGGAGGAAACGCATTTCTCTGAAGACAAAAAGGGCAGATCCAAAGCTTCCCGCGAACATCAATTTGACTAATAAATTTAAATATTTAGAAATATTATAAAACGTGTAAAAAGCAAAATAGATTAATTAACATACCAGTATGGATTTAAAATTGCACGACAAGGTTGCCTGCAAGTAACGGGTTCATAATAGATTGGGGGTAAATCTTCTCTTTCTTTAAGTGGAGTATAAAGACATGATATAGGCACAACGATCCTTGTTGCATCTAAACGAGAGGCAGGGAAGACGTTCCAGGAAAACCTTGTTCCGTCTTGTTCTTCAATCTCTTCAAAATTCATTGTGCAGGTAGTAATATTTTACAAATTTGCTATAATCGTATTTACCTTTATATAAGGTTTTATCACATAAACGTGTAGCTTTTTGTACGGCTAATTTCAATCTATCGTAACACAATCTACAATCTATTAATAAGATAAATTTTGCTGATAACAAAATTTATATATACCTTCGCATTTGATAATACTGCATATATATACTTTATTTGAAGATTAATGATACGAATTATTTAGAGAAGTTCAGTGAATCGAACATTTATTTTATGATTTATTACTAGAATTTGTAAACTTCGTATATACTTAATATATCAATGTATATTAATATTGTCGGGACCATAACAGATAAGGAAAAATATATAACAACTCCACTTAATATTATATTTACAAGAAAAAATATATACAACTACATATTTATTGTCCACATTTAGTATTGATTGTTTGTTTACCTTTTTCATTAACTACATATTAGTCAATTGACTTTAATAAAAACATTACACTGGGTGTCAGATTTTATTAAGAATTTTAACAATCTTGTCGTAGATCCAAGGTTTATTGTGTATTAGCACTTTTACTTTTTGTTTCCAATGTTTTAATTCGTTGGTGGAATATGAGATGTCAGTTTCTGTAGATCGATGGATGCTAAATCCAATGTTAAAGAAAATTAAGCGAATTAAAACAATATATAAAGAATATGTAATAGTAGTTTACACCAATTTACCTATAATATGATTAAGGTCGTCGAGAGAAATTATTTTTCAAACTTCACAGTTTCGCCAGCTTCACCTAAAAACTTTTTAGTATTATGGACAAGAACTTTTTTAAAGAACTGATTGTTAGACAAAATAACGAAACATTCTAAAAAAAAAATTATACGATTCCTCAGCCAATTTCCGTCACCATTAATTTTTACATGCAAGCATCTGATTATATCACCTAACAGACAATGAAATTAAACAACCATAGTAATATGAAATATAATAAAATTAATATATGGTGAGTCAATAAATCAAACAAATTTTTTATAATAAAATTTTTTAAACCTTTGAACAAAGTTAGCAAGAATCTGATCACATTTGATAAAAGAACTTTAATAAATTTGGTTAAATTCATGCCAAGTTATTTTGTTCAGAGTTTCAAAAAAATTCATTAAAAGAAATTTGCTTGATTTTTCTATAGACCCAAATCCATATATGTGTTGTGTATATTCGATATATATATATATATATTACCTGAACCCAAGACAATGTCTAACAGTTAACACAGGCCACTAGTGTTACCTTACAAGCTAAGCAAGGTCAAAGATCAAGTAATTAACGAGTTGGTCAAAAATTTTTGCTCCACTAAAAGAATTTAACACAAGTCGCACCAAATTAAGTCATGTCATTTAGAAACAAAAGTTTTATTCGAGAGGATCAATAATTTTCACAATAGAAGACATTGTTATTTAATTACATACCTAATTTATTATTATACTATATCATTTAGAAAAACTTGTCAATTTAAATGTACACAAGAATTAATAATTGTTGAAATAATGCGGGAACATCCCAAGAGTAAGCCTCGTTGTGTTATGACCTCTCTATCCTCAAAGAAGATCAGAAGAGACCACAATCGCATAACTGTGCTATGACCAACGAAACCAATCGTGACACTCCTAACAGCCTCGAGAGTAAACTCCTTCTTTGGCATAGAAAAATCAACGAATGGTAATGCCACACTATGGGCGACACTTTCTGCCATATGTCCGAGGACTTTCCCCAAAGCAATAAATTTGAGCAAATAATTTAAAAAATTACTGCCCCGTATGTGATGCTTTGACAGCGATTCTTTGAGGTGTTCCCAGCTTAAAGAGTAAAATTAAAGATCAAGAAATTTTGTAATGGAGTTTAATCTAAAGAAATAAGATAAAATATTAATTTTAAAATTAAATTAATAATAAATCATGAATTTTAAATTGTAGAGTTTATCGTTCAAAAAATCTGATTAAAAGAGATAAATTTTTTTTTTTTGTGTTTCCTTAAAATCAAGTTCCACTATTACACGACATCACGCCTAAGCTTACCGTTACTCATGATCCATTTATATAACCTGTAATCAGAATCAAAAATGCTCGCGATGTAGTGTAAACATGTCTGATACAAGTTATGTGTACGTTGAAAAAAAAAAAAAAAAATGCATTAGTGCACAGACGAATTACGAAAGTTCTAAAGTTTAAGAAAACAATTACACATTATTAATAACGCAAGTGATCGAAGATCAAATCAAAACAAAATAGAAAAAATGTATATTTTGCCAAATATATATTCTTTTTATATTCCAAAGGAAGTTAGGTCTCAAATGAATTTACGACATTTTAAGACATTGTGTCTGACTTTTTTAAGTACCGATCAATTCACCGAAAAAAACGATTTAAAGTTCATTTATCGATAATCACTGTTTGAAACACAATTCCAGATTAGTAATAGTCAACAGATTTTTTCTTTCTCCTGGATTTTCTATGACAAGATGAATGAACAAATTTCCGGTTACAAAAATTAATATGAAAAGATAGAATATAATCAATATGGGATGTTATTACAGTATGAGGTCATCAACCAATCAGGTAAATTTTATATATTTAACTGTTTAAGATTTACTTACAATTCAAACTATTTATTAGGCAGTGTCGCTATTAGATTGATTCAGCGAAAATTACTTAAAGTGGATGGAGTATATTCATTATTAGAGCATTAAATTAGGATTGAATGCTAATACTTCTTTAAAGCGTATAATAGAACATAACACATGATTTTGACTAATTCAGCAATTGCGAATTTTACGTATACAACCAATTAAAAATTTTCATTTATTAAAAAAATATAATTTAATTCTGATGCAAATTTTATATGTAAATCGATGCAAAATCAACATTTTAAAGATTATTCTTTTTTATTGGAGTATTGGAAAAAAATCTAAATTTCTTTCAAAAAAAAAAAAAGAACCGTATTACGGTTGATGTTTTATAGCGATAATTAAAAACCTTAATTAAAATATTGTATCCCTTCTCAATGATCTAAATCCATTATTTGAGTACACCGCTTACGCACTATATCCCTAATGATATAAAGTATATTTGATATTAAACAAGAAAGTATGACTCAATAAATATACAAACAAAAAAAAAAAGGAAACTTTTTGTAATGATCAAAAGCTTATGCGTGAATTATTATTATTATAAAAATTCGATCAGCCGATTTTGGAAAAAATCGACCGACTAAGCCTATGATTAGCTTTTAGTCGATTTTTTCATTATAGGCTGAGATCAACTAATTACTACCATTGCTTGTTGTAGATGGCGATTTTGAACCATGTTCTGATTTATCACCATTAACTTGTGGAGAATGAGGTTGATTAGAATTATGTTCTGAAGATTCATCTAATCTTGTTTGTCGTCCATTTTCTTGGTTTACACCATTACTATGATGTTGCTCACTATCAGAATGGTAACCTCCATGATGTGCAGATGCGCTATTAGCGGGTGTATGATAGAAATGTAATCCTTCTACATACTCCTGCGAATGATATGCTGGAGAAGTTAGAGGATGATCTGGAAGTTCCGTTGATTGTGGAATTTCAATCTTCATAAATGGTTTGCCACCTACAGCAGCAACATTCGAATTTGCGTTTGGCATTTGACGTGACTCAAAATTAGAGAATGCAGAGTGTGGAGCAGAAGTTGTAGCAACTATGTATAAAACGAATGCATATATATAATTATTATTATTATTAATAAAATCAATGTAAATGAAAAATTTTAAATTATAAATAAATAAATATAAATATATATTTATATTTATATATTACCTCCTTCCATATGCATATCGATCTGTTGATTTTGATGTACTTTTTGATCGTGTGAACCGTTAACAATATTCGGATCCATGTTAGGATTATTATAAACTTCAGGATTTTGATTTTCAGCATCGCCAATTGCTGGTACCATATATTGTTGATGAGGATGTTGTGGATGAAAAGGTGGGGTTTGTCCATTTGGACCTGCCATCATTAATAAAGCATCATTTCTAATTGGTCCACCAGTTACTGGTGGAAAACCTTGAAAAGGTGGATACTGTCCATATGGTCCTGGAAAAGGTCCACTATTAAAATCTTGTGGCATCACAGACCCATTTGGACCAGTCGGGTGTGGAAAACCAATGTGACGATCATTAGGAAAAGCAGGATTCATTCCCATTGGATTATAACGATCATGATTATCGGCATAGTGACCAGGACTACGACCACGTACGACTAAAGGCGCTGAAGTTGATGTAGCAACTCGATATTGCTCACCATTCTCTGCTTGAGCGTATAGATCAACCATTACTACATAATATTGTTGTGCAGCACGACGCTTTCCATTATTTGCAGTAGCAGTTTTAAATTGAATACGTTCAAAAGTAACTATATTTGAATTAGAACCAACTGAACTAAGATTTAAATTTCCACCAGGACGAATAGGTTTTGGAACAGGAACCATTTGAGGACCTTTATCACGTTTTGGAGTATGTTGTACTAACTCAATCTTTTTGTCACTGTTGGATACTCGTGCTGTGATTCCTAATAAGAATTGAGTTACTGTATGAAATTGACCGTCTACTTCAAGCAAGCATGGTACATCAGCTTCGTTAACAGGGTGAGTCGCGCTTGAAATGGAAAATGCACTGCTAATTTGAAAATAATTTCTTCGATAACACGTCCAGTCATTATCGGCCAAAAAGAAACCACGATCAACTTTTGAATTGATACGAAGTTTAAAACTAATTTTATTAATAAAGTTATATAACAAAGATTTTTTTTTAAAAAAATAGTGTATATATATGTATATATATATATATATATTATATATAAAATAAAATATTATTATTATTACAATTAACAATAATGATAATAATATAGAAAAACATTTTAGAATCATTTAAACAATAACTAACCTATAAGTCCTGTCCATGCTCCATAAATTATAATGTTGTTGAGTCGGTGAAAAGAAAGGGCCAGCGTCTACTGGGAAACCAGATGCATCTGCCCTACGCTTCCTAACACTAGGCTGGAAGGGTGCCGCGTGAAATGATGTGAATGTTGGACGGTTGTCAATTTTACGATCAGGAGCAGAGTTTTGTGTATTTGTGGTTGAATTGATGTTCGGAGAATCATTCTGTCGAGGTGTCGTAGGAGTAGCAGGGGTAGACATTGAAACAAAACTATGAATTTGAGTATTGAATATTAGAGAAATATATTTTTTTGAATTATTATACATTTAAATTGTTAGCAAAGAATAAAAAAATAAAAAAATAAAAATAATAATAATAATATTATTATTATTATTATTAATTGAAAAAAAAAGAATGATAAGAATGATATGATAGAAAATTAAAAAGAAAGCACGATGATCACAGCTTCCACCACATATGCGTAAATTATTTTGACCTTTGGAAGAAATTGGATACGCAAGGAAGACGCATTGATTATACCTCCGAAATCTTTACTACCTTTGATATTGGGGTTGTCTATCATGTGGGTTAATAATCTCTTGCTTTGGTGAAATAAACATGTTAAGATAAGTGTTGTGAGTGGGCCTTGAAAAGAAGGGATACATTGTGAAAGGGATATATATGTGTTTAAAAGCACATATACCGGTGATAACTGGTTATGTCAGAAAGGGAGGAAAGTAGTAGAGGCAGGAGAGCGGCAGGACGCAGCGTAAAGACTTCAGGGCATAAAGCGTGTGTAAGGTAACACGCGGCGGGAAGAAACATCAACTTGCATAACCCAAACAAGTTTGTACCAAGTACAAAATAAAACGCGGGTGGTGTGCTATGCTCGTTGTGGAAACTGTAAAACGTGCGCGGTACGAAACCGACGTGAAAAAAAAAAACAAATAAAATATATAAAAGCCTGTCAACACTTACATTTGCTGAGAGTGCATTTGACCTTGCGTTGCTTGACTTTCGTATGGAAATGGTTGCATAAAGTTTTCCGTAGGCATACCGTTCATCTGTGGTGACATTGTAGAATGTTGATGTTGAGGAGAAGGAGGAACTTGAGAAGTCTGTTGAATTGACCACTTTTCCTCGGAAATATTCATAATATTATTAAGCCGAAAAGTAGGTAGAATACCCCTTGCAGACGTTAAAAGATATTTTCAAAAAATTTGTAAAAGATCAACGGTAACGAGATTCCTCGGAGCTATAAAGTATATAAAGGTGTATTAAAAAAAAGAAAAGAAAATAAATAAATAAATAAATGAATAAAAGATTTAATAAAAGCGAGAAACCAATGAAAATAGGGTTTATATATACATAAAAAAAGATTTGAGAGAATAAGTTGATTGACGGATAACTAATATCCGAAACATACGATTCAGATAAAGAAAAAGAAAACCGAAGAGGATAAATAAAGGAAGAAAGAGAAGAGCATACACTCTATAAATGATTTCTTCAAAGAAATTTCTCTTAATAATATAATATAATATATTTATTTTTAAAATATTTCGCTTTTAATTACACGAACACTAACAAGCTATTAGGAAATAGGATAGTTGTACTTGGATCCCTTGGAGAGCAGGGAAAAAGTGGTCCAATGTTACTCACCTTTTGTAGGCGCACAAGCTGACCTTTTTTGCTCAAAAATCTGGAGAGATGTTTTGAAGAAAAAAACCGAGCGCAATCTCTATATAAGTCATTGTAAAGGGTAATAAGAGTAACCAATGATATGAGAGCCAGATTTTTGGGGAGTTTTTTTTTCATTTTGATATAATTGAAAAGTTTGCCAGTTAAGGATTTTGATTGGTCACGCAACAAAAACCCCCAATTCTCAAATCAAGTTTTGAACAGGAATTTGCATCGACACACAAAATCTTAGTGTATAAAAAAAAATTTTTTTTAAAATGATGGCATTTATTACTATGAATGGGTAGAAACTCAAAAAGCGTGACCAGACATATAACGCATCATTCTCACTACTTTTTACTTTCGATTAAACTAAAAACAGTAAAAGATTAAAGCCAGTACAACATAAAACCGATTAACAGGTATTATTAATGCGTTTTTTTTTTTTTTTCACAAATTACAAATTATAAGAAAAAAATTTATTAAAATTATAAATTATAAAAATATATTTTCACTATTAGTTTACGATAAAAAAATACAAAGTATTATAATGTTCAGAGTTTTAAAAAACGTTCGTGTAAGTCATACATAATTCCTCGTACAAAAATAAACATCTCACAAGCCTTTTTTATCCATCGTACCACGCTATCTATAACGCAAATAATTTTATGCTTTACACTTAGATACAATACCAAAGTTATCTTAATTGACAAGATAAATAACAATAAATGACAATACTTATGATTAATAAAAAGCCAAATATCCTTGTACGCCCACAGCTCGCTCCTATGTTCCAAATACGGTAAGGCGTTGGTCGTTCCGATGCGGGTCGTGAGTACATTTTTTCTTCAATGTCTAGGTGTGGGTAATCTGGCTGTACAAAGAATTTCGTTAGGCAAAATCAAGTTACCTTTCTGGAATTTGTCTCATTTAAGAAATCTGCAAACTTTTTAATCTGGCACAGCCCGCTATAAATCAAGTTTCATCTATTCCCTTGTCATGTGCAAATGTGTTCGTAACTCAAATCATTCGTTTATTTTATTTACGTACGTGGACAATTCATTAACTCTAATTTAGTACTGAATACTGAAGTATATATATATATATACGTTGTTAAAATAATTTTAAAATAATGATAAGCCACCTGAAAGACTAACTGTAGATATTCCTGTTGTAATCTTGTCTTTAAGGAAACCCAGATGCTGGCGGTACTGATTGACTTGATTAGATTTTCCTCATGCATGTATTATCAATCATTTTGTATATGTAAATTATTATTAATTTCATATAATCAAAGACGAATTTTCATTATCATTGTCCGTTATGATTTGGTTACATTCGATCTTGTGTCTGGATACTTTTAATTCTTTTGGTTTGACAAATTCTTTTGGTCTGACAACGTTTTTGACGGCTCTGAAAAATTTTCCTTTGGAATGTCCGGATGCATGGTTACGAAATTAAAAGGGCATCACGACCTTTCTTTTTTTTCCCTATTAAATTTATCATAGTCTCCGCAAAAAATTTTTTCTCACACAAAAGGAGATCCTTTTTTTTTTTTCGCGGTAACGTTTCTTTGTACTCTCCCTCGTTTTTTTCGTTCTGCTTCATATCCACGAGTACATCATTTTTCAACACAACGTATTTCCTTTTTAGCTCCGGTGCTTTCGGTAGAATATCAATGGGTGTACAAATTATGTACATAGTACGCCCACACGGCGCTGCACAAAGATAGTCATGAACAGGATTTTTCCATAATTGCACTATTTACCTACCGCATGGCTGTCCGACGATTCCTATTATATCTTTTATATGTTTATCCGTTAAAATGCTAAGATCCGTATTCCACAAAAAAAAACCACGTGAAATTTTTTTCTATACATTTTACTTTTTTTACTTAGCGCTGTAAAAAGGAATAATTTTTCGTCACGTACGTACGTATAAATTTTTTAAATATATATATTTGTAACAATCTGTGGTACGTATAACAGAAATTAAGTTATATATATATGTACATTTATAGTTAAGTCATTTTATAAATTAATTGTTACAAATAATAAAATAAGCAATTATTATAATTATATATAGTATAATTATATTATTATTGATATACTGTATAAAGCATATATATTGTATCTCTTAAACTGTTTTCAGGCAAATTTGCCTGGAATTTTGAAAAGTATTTATAATTTTTTAAATAAAATTAAATTTTATTAATAATATAAGGTATATTTTATATATACAATATTTTATTTGAAATATATTTTATAAGCTTTATTATAAAATTTTTTTTTTTTTTTTTTTTTTAAGCAATCCTGCCTTTATTCATGTGAACTACTATATAATTTATATACACTTATATATTAAAATTCTTATAGCTTATTGTTCTAACCTAATAAAGACTTACCAGGTTAAACCCAATATGACCTGCTATACTAACTGTTTATCTCTCTTAAGATCCTTAACTTGCTAAAGATTTTGTACTATCTCTGATACCCCTCTTAGTTTATAAGTTAGCCATTGTATACCTTGTCAGGATCACCCGACTTTTAAGATCTTTTTTCACCAAAATCTGGGTAGAATACCTATCTCCTACTTTTCTTTAAACAAGGATTATATATATCACTTTTACCAAAGAACAACTACATCTAGAAGAAATAAAAGAATCTAAAACAACTAAAACACTATTCTAAATATGTTTTTATCGTAAATAAACAAAGATGAAAAAGGACAAAAAAGTTAGAGGATACGTATTATTTCACCGACAATCACTTCACAAACAACTTAGTTCACCGACAATCAATTCACAGACAAGTTCATTTCACCGACAATTATTTCACTGACAGTTCATTTCACTGACAAGTATTTTTTATAAATTACACTAACCTTAGCTCTAATTCTAACCTGACACTAACAACAATGACCAGAATTATTTTGTCAGCAAAATGTTGTCGGTAAAATAATTGTTGGTGAAATGAACTTGTCGGTTAATTAATTGTCGGTGAACTAAGCTGTCGGTAAAGTGATTGTTGGTGAAATGCGCACTACTCTTTTCAAATTGTGTAGCCTGTTGAGTTTAGCTACTGTGGCATTTAGATAGGTTGGGATATGTTGGTTATTTTTGGCTTGGTGTTTTACGATTCTGATTACATTTTCTAGCTTTTTAAAGCTATAGTGGAGCTGGGTTGCTTTGGATGAGAAGGTGTGATGAAAGTTATGAACTGTAAACTTCTTATTAGGAATATGCTAGAGTGCTGCTAAGATAATGCTAGTTTGGATTTCATGCCATGTGGTTTCAAGAGACTCTAGAGTTGTAAATGTGAGAGGTGTATTGTGTTGTTGTAGGTTTGTGTTTAATTGGTCTGCGAAGTTTTCCCATTTTTTTGAGTTCATTACATTGTTGTCAAAGACCCTTCTTCAGATGCAGGTTTTGTGTTTTCTTTGACCAGTGAGAGCATATAAAAAAAGCCAGCAGGAGATGAGAATTTTGTGATTACTTTGAGTACTGGTGTTGGGGTTATCAGTATCATAGTGAGTAAGATATTGGAGGTTTGGTTGGTAAACCCAAATGAAGTTAATTTTGCTACTAAGGTTGGCTCTATACTATGTGTGTGTGGACTTGTGAGAGTGTAAAGCATGGTCATACATGTTGTTAAATGTTAGATATTGAAGTAATTTGTATTTAATCGATTGGGAGTAAATATTTTCTGTAGAAGCATTGAAATTGTCTAATGTAATTGGAAAGATATTTTGTACTTTGGCTTGTTGTATCTACTGTATTATGATATTTTGGATCTGTAGTCGAAGGTGTGCATTATTGCTAGAAAGATAAAGTGAAATAATTCAAAACTTGAAGTCATGTTTAAAGAAAAGATCTATAGCTATAGCATGTCTAGACACTATACTGATGCTGTGAATATGTGGTGTAAAGGAGTTATGAATCATAATAGCTATTCCTGCTTTAGAGCTATCTGTACAGAACCAGAAGTAGGTGTAGTGTTGGGTTTTGTATCACTTTTGTAAAGTTGTTTTACTGGATAGTTTGGTTTCTGTAATGCTAATAATATCCAGGTTTTGCTGGAGGCAGTAATTTTTGCAAGCCTCTTTTTTAGTATTTGTGTTGAAGCCTTGTACATTGTATATGCAAATAGAAAGAGTTAGTGGAGAAAGTGGCATAGGTTGCTAGATATCAGATTGAGGATTAGTGTAATTAGCTATGTAGTGTATATTAGTTTGAGAAGTGTTGGGGCTAGTGTATTGTGTAAGCTACTCATAGGAGTGTTTGTTTGTATTTATTGGTGTTGGTTTGTCCAATGGGAAATGTTGTTATTGGTAGATAAAGTGTTATCTATAGTTATTGTTGCTACTGTAGTAGCTGACATTTCATTGGATGTTGTAGTAGGTGTAGTCTTATCTATAATAGAGGTAATGCTGGTGAAGGATTGAACTGTGCTGGGAGTAGTTGGTAGTGTTCCTCACG